CAGGCCACTCATAGAGGTCTCAGCAAGAGATAAATTGCTAATACAACCATCGGAGTCAGAATATCTACATCAAGGGCTCCTACCCGGGTTATTTATACCCCTTGGAGGTATAAATCATGGGGTATGGGTTTGGATCTTTTAATAATGATAATTTTAAAAAAATCAGCAATAATTAATTTCATTGATTTTAAAGAAGACCCAAGAAAGATCTGATTTTGAAATGGCTGGGCTGCAGATCAAAAAGTTTTGGCTTGAGCAGATCATGGCTTACCCTACCTTGACGATGTGCAGGGAATGTTTTGGTTCCCTTCACAAGTTCTTATCTCTGTTAAACAGTATTCTCTGCATTTTTGAACCTGATATTAAAGTAGAGAAACGGACTTGATGTGTCAAATGACATGCAAGTAAAATTGTCAGTAAGTGTGCCACTATTCCATGTTTTGATTGCACAAATAAAATAATTAAAATCTCATTAGCTGTAGCTTCTGTATTTGTGATTGCCAGTTTTTTTAAATCAATAAATATAACAAAATCCTTAAGAGTTTCCTTCTTTGTAAAGTAAAACCAAGCTCAGGACATCTTTTAAAGTGATAATGGTACCCAGTAAGACTGGTGATGATGATTCTAACAGTCTGGCAAAGAGGGTATGATGACACACTGGGAAGTCCATTGGGGGCTTTAATTATAAAAAGATTAAAACTAAGTGTATGTAGACACATAATCTGTTTATCAGTATGTTTGGCATCATGTTGCTAATTTTTTTTTACGGAAATTGTTGCAAAGGTTCTTACTGGAGATCCAACCAGTAACAGGACTTCCAGGCTGATAACGTTAAGCTGCTGCATTGCAAATTGGCAGTCTAGCATATGTGCTCCTTCAGTTGCCTGTTGAGGTGCCCTACCGTTGCCCATTGAGCTGCCTATCAAGGCTATCAGATATAAAGCCCAATGGACAACTGAGCAGCTGACTAATAATGCAGTGGATTAATGTTGTCAACTTACAACAAAAAGTGCTGTTACTGGCAGGATCTCAAGGTAAGAGACTTTTCAACAGATATACAAAAAACAGTTTGCTTACAAACATTATACAGTGAGGCAGGATGCCCAACATACTGCCTAACATGCTAAAAAAATAGATTTAGGTTATTCAGTACATACCCTGTTCTAAAATATATAAGTATCAAATGTTTTCTAAGAGTTCGATTAAGAGATGTGCGGTTCATTCTGGCAAGGTCCATTGCAGATGACATTGATTCTCAACCACCATTGAACAGTTGATCAGGGAAGAACTGTCCTTGTAGTTAAGTCCCATAGACTGGCCAGTTGCAGTACATATGATATCCTAAGCACATTATATTATTATTCATCAAATTGTGTACAAGATATTCTAGTTTTTCACATCCTCACCTTCCCTGTTATGGTATCTAATCTATCTTTTATAAGGTTGTATTTATTTAAAACCTTTGAGCACCATTTATGGAGTCCAAAGGGACAGTATATCATGGACCAGTGATCTGTATCAGTCTTTTATAGCTTACAAGTCACCTCTGTTTGTGTGACCTTGTTTATTCACTTTCTGATTAATTGCGGATGTCATTGGATCGGTGAACCATAGTGAAGGTTGAGGTTTTTAAGTAGAACCATTTTTGTTTTGCTGAAGTTTTGTGGTCACTGCGGAAAGTTCAAATACAGTACACAAATCAACATTTCTATACAAATGTGTTATTATTATTATTATTATTCATATGTGCTCATGTGCAATAAACACGTGGCATTTACTGTGGATCAAATCAGAAGAAAGAGCTTGTTTGAACATCCAAACTTCATAATACAGACTGGACGGAATAGTTTATATATCTTGGTTTCTTAAAGTATGTTATAGATCAGTGGTTCTCAACTCGTGGGTCGCGACACCCTCTGCAGTGGGTCGCGGCGTCATGTCTGCATAGACCGGCCCATCTGCATTAGAAAGAACTAGAGGGGGAATTTGTGGTTCAGCCTGTAGAACCTCATAATGTCAAACTGTCCCCTCTCTCCCGGCCTCCCCCGGGCTCTCCGATAAAGTGGTATGGCCCGGGGAGAGAGGGGACTATTTCCTCACTTTCGGCCGGCGCATTAATATCAGGAGCCGCGGCTCCCGACAATTAAGTTATAGTTCCGGCCTGCACTGGAGAGTACAGTAGATATCAATCCGCCGCTGTATCTACTGTACTCTCCAGTCCAGATAGTTCAGTCGGCTGGAATCAGAGAAAGGTAGGCAGGCAGACAGGGAGATGTGCACTGTGGCAGGACAGGGGACACTGATGGATATTATGCATTCCAAGCCCACATAATATTCATCATGTATATCCATCACTGTCCCCTGTCATAATGTATGTTAATTAAATACACAATTAATGTTATTACACAGACTGGGCTCAGAATACATAATGTCCATCAGTGTCCCCTGTCATATTGTCCTCTGTCAGTGCAGAAGCTGGGGAGGGTAGGGGGGGGGCATTAGCAGGGGGCTCCGCTGCAATTTTTTTACCTGCAGCAGAGCCTATGCTAATGCACCCCTCCCCCAGCTTCTGCACTGACAGGGAACTTTATGACAGGGGACACCGATGGTCATTATGTATTCCAAGCCCACATAATATCCAATAGTGTCCCCTGTCGTAATGTCTCCTGTCAATGCAGAAGCTTCGGGGAGCATTAGCAGGGGCTTAGTAGAGAACCTGCCGTGCTAATGCCCCCCCTTCCCCATACAGACACCCTCACCACCCCCTCTAGGTTCTGCACTGACAGGGGACATTAGGACAGGGTACATTGATGGACATTATGTATTCCAAGCCCACATAATGTCCATCAGTATCAGTGGCGTAACCAGAGTTATGGGCGCCCGGGGCAGACATTCCCCCCCCATTATATAAACATCCACTGGAACTGTACCCCGCAACCGCCACCCCCACACGTTTTAAATTTTAATTTTTTTAAATATTTAATTTTTATTCTTTATAAACTTTTTAATTTTTTTAAATTCATTTACTTTCAGCAAAATATATATTGCTGAATACTGCACAAGTTGTTTTGTGTAATAAATTAAAATGTTTCATAAATGAAATCATTTTTGGGTCACGCCTTAATGACCAAGGAAACATGTGGGTCCCGAGGTTACACAGGTTGAGAACCACTGTTATAGATAGTTGCACAGTTGGTGGGTTAGGTCAGGGGAAGGGGGCAAAAAGCATAAATGCAGCTTGTTTTAAGTGCACTTGTTCTATAAGCGTTGTCATTGAAACCGGATTAGAAAGGGAGTCTCCCAGTTTAATGGGGACACCTGTCAAAGTTTGAACTTACTTTGAGGAGATTCTTCTTGGCTTCCTATTGTGTCTGCAGGGTGGGAAGTGAGAAGAAATGTTCCCAATGGGGTCACAAACAGCAATAAAAAACTATTAACAGGATATCATTAGGAATAACAATATCACCCAGTTGCTTTTTATGGATTATGCCATTACTTATTCATGCAGTAAGCCACTTCGCATCATTAAGCTGAACCCTGGCAAACAGATAAATACACAGATGTAAAACATATTATGGAGCTGATTTACTTGCCATAGGAGTTGTATTTCTGTCCATCCAGTCCCAAGATTTACACAGCCCTTTAACACAACACAGTCCTGTCAGGTAGGGCAGGAGACCTGATTTTTTTTCTGCTGTAGTTAAGCAACACATACGGGTCTTGTCCCTCCCCCAGTCTGTGACTGGATAGTGAAAGGAGAAGCAGCAGACTGATCAGCTCATCTCTCTGTCACTCTGCTCTCTCTTTGTGTTTTATATCTGCCTGGAGTTTAGCTTTAAAGTGATATTAAAGGTTCAGGTTTTTCTTTTCTAGCATCAGAACTAGGAGGCCCATCTTTGCATGAACTGTATGTTCCTTCTCTTAAAAAAAGTTTATCTTCCTCGCTTTCTAGTGGGTCACCGCAGCGCTCAAACCCCATTTGGGAAGAGACAAAGGTACTCGGCGTTTTTTCCCTGATGCAGAGAATACTTTAACCACACGTATTGTTAATAACCCCTTAATTAAACTGATGGTAAATCTTTCTTCTGTACCAAGCTGATGTATTATTGTCCTTTGTACAATCTTTAGAATGCAAATGTAGTCCCTGAAAAAAAAGCCTACTACTCAAAGTCCCACTACTGTTAGGTGACAGTTTACCAAAGGTTGGCATGATTTTGGGACAAGATGGTCAAATGTCTGGTGTAGTAGTGGTCAGGGCTAAATATGATGTATAATGCAGAATAATGTATTCTCTACAGTACTTTACAAAAAAAAGTTATTAAGACAACGTGGAGTTATACCACCTTAACCTGCAATGATGTGCTTTTATATGATTAGAGAACTACTTCCTGACTAATGAAGAGGATCTGAACCATGGAAAAGTATTGGCTGTAGGCTCTCTGCAGATGATCTCTTCCCCATTACTAACTTACAATGCCTTGTTCTGCAATGTGTTTTTGAGTGTAGGTGGCCATCTTGGTAATGGAGCAGGGCTTGTTTCCCCCATGCCAGAGGTGGAGCCCAGATCCACACAATTAATGGCACAGCTGCAGGGATATCCTTGTACTGTAGGTCCTCTGGTACAGCTTCCGCTCCAGTATGGAGAACAGTCAGCAGAAATTACATTATAAAATCTCACTCCAAATCTGGTAAGACTAACAGTCAGAGACAGCAGTGCCTTAGATAACCTCAAACTGCAGATACGCAGCTATGAGGCTCAAAGCCCAGGATGCTGTTTTTCAAAAGAAATTCAAGCAAAAAGGTAGATTTTTCAGGGTATAAGTTAGCAAATCGTCACCTTTTTGAGCCACATCTACTTTAAAATCTTGATAAAGTAATTAAGCACTTGCATAAGCTGAATGTAACTTGATGATGATGTTGATGATGAGGATTATTGTTGTTATGATTTGTATTATTTTTATAATTGTTTTGTTAATTTTTTTTATTCTGTCTTTTCCTAGGATTTGTTTCAGAGCACTTTCCAAACCACAGAAAACTGGGAGAAATCGGTAAGTGATTTAATTTCAAGTGTCCTTTTGGGGAAGGACGATCTTCCCAGGCCAGTCTTGTTGGCACATACTGTAGTGTTTTATATGTAGAAGAGACGGTTCTGCTGTATTTATTGCTTTTGTATTTATATTCCTGTGTTTGTTGATATTCTGCCTGCAAGAATCTGAAAACCAAATGCGTATTTATTACGTTCAAATTTACATGGGCCCATAGCTGCCAGATACATATTTATAAGTGTGCACAGTGCTTGGAATGTAGAATATAAAATGATGGGAATGGGGAAAGGAAATTGAATGTATACAATGCTTGTGGTACACAGGAATATTGCTCGAATTAAAGGTTTCATATGGCAAGATTTTACACAGAACAAAGCCGATTTTCATTCTTGTCAACCCTCTTGCCTGTAAAACCTACTTTCCCAGGACTCATAATGTTCTATTGCAGCTTAAAGGGCAGTTTTTGTAAGATATGTGTCATTAAAGCAGAGCTTCACCCAAAAATTATATTTCAGACTTGTGTGAATGTTGACAAGTTGATCTGTCTTTTGGGTTTTCATATCTCTTGAGGATCCCAGTGGTAGGCTATCCCCTTTAGAATTTTCCAATAAAAAGTCAAATATTGGTGTCACACTTCATCATTACACTCTTCTTAGTCTGCTCTAACAAAGATCAGTACACTTGTAATATTAAAGTGTATGTAAACCCTAACATGAACTTCAATTATTTGCTAACTTACAGCTGGAAAGGGTGATTGATGTGGGCATGTAGCAAGGACTGGAATGCTGCAGGACTGTGTTTCATGGCGATGCTGCCTAACCTCAACTTCTCCATAGAGGAATTTTCTTTTACATGTTGTACTGTCTTCCCATGCTTATCAACATAGCTGATTTGGCCAATCACAAAACAGAAGGAAACAAGAATAGCATAAAGTAGCACAATTTTGTCAGGAGCTCCATTACTAGAAATAGTGAAAAGTGTCTGTCTCAGGGAATGGCTGTAAACTTTTCTTGCAAAAACATCTTCACATTTTCCCTTTGTCCTCTTAATGGAGAACTATGGGGTTAGGGCTTTTCCCCATAGTTCTCCTAAGGGTAACGGGGGGACACAAACTAGCGTCCTCCCGTCAGCCTAAGCTCAGTGTACCGCGAGCAGCAGCTCGCAGTATACTGAGACGCTGCAGCTGAAACGGATCCCGACAATTATGTCTGGATCCGCCCAGCTGCGTGAGTGACAGCTGGCTCTGCCTATCTAGAGGCAGAGCCAGCTGTACCCGCCCCCTCCCCGTCCGTTCCGCCAGTCAGCGCTGGAGGATCGGAGCGGGGAGGGGGGAATCCAGCCCCTCCCCTGTCACGGCATAGAGCCGTGACAGGATCGAGAAGCGAGCGAATACGCCGGTATGTGTTCGCTCACTTCCCGATCTACTGAGCCGACCTGTGACAGTTTCATTGTCACAGGTCGGCCAGAACTATGAGGATGAGTCAAAACCACTCACCTCATAGTTCTCCTTTAATACATTGTGAACTGGCCCCTAATGTCTACAGCAGGCAGATTTAAGTGTCTGCCACATGTTCAATTTATTTTCTGAGCGCCCTCAAAGCTCCCAGCACTCTATGATTTAAATTCAACTAGAACTTACATGATTGTACTTTGACCCGGTTCTTTCTGCCTCCTGTACTTGCTGATTGGTCCATAAAGCCATCCATTGCCTAAGGTAATGCACGGGGACCAGAGCACAATCCTGCAGGGGCTGTTAGGTGTTTGTGTAGTAGACCGTCCTATATTTGGAACTTTGGAAATTAAATAATTATGAGTGGCTATATAGATCAGTGCCCAGTTTACCATTTTTAGCCACAGGTTGGTTTTACCCTCACCACTGTCTCCTCTGCAATATGAAGAGTAAATTCTAGGATATGTAAAGATTCTAAATGTTGCCATAATTAAAATCTTTTCTTCAATGAAAGGGTGGGATACTCTGCTTGAGCTCAAACGGCATATCACCAAATGTGACAGGTATGGATGTTTGGAATTCACGTTGATCTAGTTGATGTCAGGTTTAATAGACGTAGTCATAGGATGACTTTACAAATGAGCAGATCAGGTTCTCATGGACCTTATCTTCCATCCCAAGTATTCAATATCTAAGCAAGTTACAGCTCTCTTGAGTTTTATGCTATTCAATTGTACTTTTTTTTTTATTTAGTCAAGGGTATGCTTTCTAGTCAGATCAAGAGGTTCAAAGAGAATATATCTCTTGAAAGCTCGTCTAGAAAAGTGTACAGTTAGTAGAAATGATAGTTCAGTACTCAACTTTTCCTTTAAAGAACTGAACTAATGCTTCATTCTGCTGCATTATAGGCAGTTTAGGGTTAACATGGCCTGATAAGGTTGATGTTCAGAATATGGAGACTGTGCTTGTGTCTTATGTTCTGAGGCTGATAGTTTGACTTAAGTTTATTTTTTTGTGCCATGTATTTGATGCCAAGAAGAAGTAAGAGAATCATCGCTACCTGAAGTGTTCCAAAATTCATATTTCCTCTTTACCATAAAGCATCCTCTAATACTGAAAGTGAACCATTACCTTTCCCATTCTTATAAACATAGTGGTACCTTCATAAGCTGCTCTACCATTTGTTTCAAACATGCTGCTTTTTCCCTAAACATGCAGACTAACCAGCACTGTTGTTGAAATGCAAATGTTGACTGTTTGTGGAAAGTTGAAAATTCCTCAGCTTCATCTTTGACCTATGTGTTCTGCTGGTTGTCAGGGGGAGGGTGGAGGTATCTTTGACACCAAAGCTAAGACTGACAGCCTGGTTTTACCTTCCCTGTGCAGAGTGGCAGTCTGGTGGCACACACTGTGGGAGAACCCGGTCTAAGGGAACAGATGGGAACAGAGCTTTCCATATATGGATTATGTACCACTTAGTTATTTATGATGTGAATATAACATGAATTTGTTTGTGTTTTAAGTATGCATTGAGTTGCTGTAACATTTCCTACTATAACCTTTACACATAACCATCCCCTAAAACAAGCCCTGACACTTAAACCATCCCCTCAACACTTGCTCCTTAAATCTCAACTCCATAACCTATTTCGGTCCCATCTAATTCTGCATGAACTCTGCTGCTCCTTAATTATATCCCTAATTTTTCTGTGAGCCTCCAAATTTTCATTTACAGCAGGCACAATTTATTTCTGTATGGTGCCCAGCCTTATACAAGACCCACTGACCATCATAGAGGCAACCCATGAGCTTCAGGGGGTGTCAATCATACCTGCTAAGTCCTCTGTGCTGCATACAACTTCCACAGAGCCAGTTTCAGCTGGATGGGAAAAAAATAGCTACAGAACCCACCCCTTCCCTGTACTCGCCAAATCATTTCACTTATGAATGCCTTTACAGCATTTAGTATGTTACTAACACTAGTGTTTTTTTGCCACACAATGTGGTCCAGACTCCAGACACATGTACCACGCATTGTATGGTTTACTGTTTTGTCCTGTTCACATTTAGGCAAAGATATTTGAAACAGCTCAGATAACATGATGTTTACAAAATGACTTTTGCTGTGGGCACTACTGCAGTAATGTGCTTGTTTCACCTCATTCCTCCCACATGACAGTGCACATTAAGATGAAAATGAAGCATGGATGGGCCTGTGCCCGTTTTTTTCTCTTTAGTTTTAAGGTAGAAAGTCTTTGGATTAAAATGTTGATAAATTGGTAGATAAAATGCAGAAAGCTGCACAGCAGGCAGGGGTAGAGGAGTATAAAAATATAGATTGTTGCAGAGTGGCATTCTGTTTTTACCCTTAGGGCTACCCTTAGGATTCACACCAGATGCAGTTGTGATGCAGTCCCTTCAGTGTCTGCGTTCCGGTCCAGTGCAATCTGCAAAAATGCTGCATGCACTATTTTTTTCAGATCACACAGGATCGGAACGCAGGCACTGATGTGCCACGCGTTCTGGTGCACGCGGTCGCACTGTGGGCAGGGGCGTGGCTGTGGTCCCATTGACTGCAATGCACCACCGTGAGGAAAACTGTGCGGGAAACGCAAACGCAATGTGTGAATGGAGCCTCAGGAGATGTAGTTCTGGGGGTGTGCCTATGTCTTTCGGAACTGAGCCTGCATATACAGTGCAGGGCTTAGCAATGTTGTGGCCAGTCATTCATATGCAAATCCAATGGCATAACATTTATATGCATATTCTGTAGTGATTTACATACGAGTGAGCTGTGGGCACAATATAACAGGGGCAGAGGTAGAGGTGGCATACAGAGTCAGCGTGTCGGGACACAGCCCGGGACACAGCCTTTGAAGGACAGTTTAAATAAAAAGGGAAACTGTCCCAGCAAAACCAAGATAGTTGGTAGGTATGGACAATGAGACAACAGGTCTTGTGCTGAAGCATAATAACATCTAGATTCAAGCTTCTGAACATGCTGATCCATACTTGAGCCAACAGCTCCCCATAAGAAGTGTTTTTTTTTGCCAGAAAACAACATTGCGAATTTATGTACTTCACACCTTGTCTAACTGATCACATAAGACATGTTAATTAAACTAAACTTTGTCCTGATTGCATCTCCCAACCTTCTGCCGTTCCCTTTATTTCACATGAGTACAATGGACTGACAAGCGCACCATAAAGAACGCTAACCATGTCTCAGGGTTCAGAAATTATTCTTTTATCTGTTCTTCACTGTCATTGCATTCCGACTCCTTTCAATTCTATTAGCCTTTCATTCCATTATCCCTCGAGACAAAAAAAATAAAAAAATAACTACAAAATATATAAATAAAGCAGGAGTCGAGAAATTATAGCATTTATGATCTAGGATGATGTCTACTTATATTCACCCCTTTCATTCGGCGCACTTTGAAAAGGCAAGCCGACACCACCATATATTACTGTAGACTCTTGCCGCCGCTGTGAATAAAATTCTAACTAGATTCTGACAAATCAAATCATTTTAATGAACCGCGGCAAACAG